TACAAACGGAAAACGGAGAGACTGTTCGGGAGAGCTCGCGAAAACTCGACGATAAGGTACCTGACCGCCCCTAAAATTTTCTCAACGGATTTAGACGATTCACAAAAATGATCAATTTAAGAAATAAAACGGCGGATTTCCGCGGATCCGCGAAAATTGCCATGTATGTTGACCGCGAGGGGTGGGAGGAGGAAATGGGGGTGGGGGGACTCCGTATGTCAGTGTGTTTCGATTTCGTTCATGTTCGGTGACGTTCCGGCTGTTGCTCATCGAGGCGTGCGTGCGTATGCGCGTGTGTGCATGGTTGGGCGCCCATGTGCGTGCGTGGGTATTTGCTTGCACGTGCACGAGGTCAATCGCGGGGGTTGGTCGCTTCAAAAGTCGATCCTCGGTCAAAAAAGTTTGCCCTTTGTGGCAAGCTGACCCAAGTAGTAAGTAACCGCTGCAGCTAGCATGCAGACAGTGCCTGCTTCGAGTGGCAACAACGGAATACAAGCCAGATTTGACGAGGATTGTTCAAGAGAAGGAATGCCAGAAGTCCCTGCACTAAGGTGCGAAGCAACATGCATAGTAAGAGAAAAACGTTATGATATTTTTGTTTGTGGACTTGTTTGAACCAAGCGTTTGTGTGTGAAACAGTGCACACAATATTCATTGTTAAAAATGACTGGCCTGTGGTTCAGGGTGCAATTACTTTTTTTCACTGAGGCTCAGAAAGGTTTGGATTTATTTTTCCTTATTAAATTGAATTGTCATTTGAAAACTGCTTTTTGTATTTCCTTGGGTTGTCTCCGAGTGGTATTAAAATTGGTTTGATGATTTGAAACCTTTGTGTGTGATAGATATGCAAAGAAAAGAAAAACAGCAAAAAAAAAAAAAAAAACAGGAGGAAGGCAGCCACTTTTTCCACAGCACTGTATACATTGCCACAGATAATGTGTTTGAGGGATTATTTCCCACGGGTTTTGTCTGTGGTCAACCAAATGAAATGAATGCAATCATTCACATCGAACCTTAACTGTGTACCAACCTTCAGATGTTGTCTAACTACGGCCCGCGGGCCGGATCCGGCCCGTTGGTCCCTATTAATCCGGCACGCGGGCCGTAGTTAGCCCACCTCTGATCTAAAGGCATGAAAATGTGTTATGATCAGCCGAAGTCTCCATCCACCCCAGCTTAAACCAGAGGTCACCAACATGGTGCCCGTGGGCACGAGGGAGCCCCCAAGGACTACATAAGTGGCCCGTGGGCCTATTCCAAAAATAGCTCACCAGTGATTAGACAGACACTGTGACTCACCAGGAATATTGCGGGAGTGATTTTTTTCAAAATGTGAACACTGGCAGATGTTTATAATAAAGTGTGGCCAATTGATATTTATCTGTTTCATAAAAAATGTGAGAAATCACAAATTTATATCATTAATCATTAATTATAACTTATGAGGCGGTCCGGTGGTCGACTGGTTAGCATGCCAGCCTCACAGTGCAGAGGTGCAGGGTTTGATTTTGGCTCCAGCCTTCCTGTGTGGAGTTTGCATGTTCTCCCCGTGCCTGCGTGGGTTTTCTCCGGTTACTCCGGTTTCCTCCCACATTCCGAAAAAAACCATGCATGGCAGGCCGATTGAACACTCTAAATCAGACATGGGCAAACTACGGCCCGCGGGCCGGATCCGGCCCGTTGGTCTTTTTAATCCGGCCCGCCGAAGGTTGGTACAGTACACAATTAAGGTTCGATGTAAATTATTGCATTCATTTCATTTGGACTTGTAATACAGGCATTTAAACGCCAGGTGGCGCAGTTACTTGAAGTCGCAGAGCACAAGGAGGGAGGGGGAGACGATACGGAAGCCCGGAGTAGCACTAACTCAAGTAAGTCGCGCTCGATACGACGAAATAGATGTATCCCCATCGCTATTTTCTGTCATTGGATCCAAAACGGCGACATGCAAGCGACTCTTTGTTGCAGTGAGTTTTACTGGAATTGCGAACATTTTTACATCCTTTATTAGAGCATGGCATCCAAACAAAGAGGAGCGGTAATGGCCGCGGAAGAGAAAATGAAGTGTATCTCATTAAACGAAGT